AATAAGAGCCAAATCGCGGATGACAGTGCGTTATTCTAAACGAAACTAAATTTTTTCGTTAGAATTAAATACCTGTGCACAAGGCACCAAATTTTTACTTGGACACGGCCAAGATATAAAATTGGAATAATCTCTACAAGAGATTTTTAATTCCATGTATCCCCTATTCCCCCTAAAGAAAGGCCTCGGGTTCGATTCCCGATTCTGCGACTTTCGGATCTATATTTTTCTCTCGCACTTTATTTCTTTAGGGGGAATAGGGGATACATGGAATTAAAAATCTCTTGTAGAGATTATTCCAATTTTATATCTTGGCCGTGTCCAAGTAAAAATTTGGTGCCTTGTGCACAGGTATTTAATTCTAACGAAAAAATTTAGTTTCGTTTAGAATAACGCACTGTCATCCGCGATTTGGCTCTTATTGCCTATCTTATATATGTTAAATTTAAAACTATTATTAATATGACTTTTCGCTTTGGGTAGACTAGTTCGTAAGGTGTTTTGTAAAAACGAAGCCAGCGAGTTAGAGCTGTAGCCACAGCGATAGAGCTGTATCAACCGATGAAACTATGATTCTAACTGGATAGTTTTCCTTATGGATTTTAGGTAATCCATACGCTTTTGGAAGGAGAGAATCACTACAACGTAATTTATAATATTCGTTTTTTGAAATATAATTTTCCTTAAGCCATCTCTTCAACAAATCATTCAAATCGTTCTCTATTTTTTTGCACGGATTTTTTTTAACAATAGTGTAAGTGTTGACATCTTTTAAAACGTTTTCCATTTTGTTAATATAATGAGATCTTTCCATTGCCACCGTAGCATTACCCTTGTCCGCGCGTGTGAATAGAACATTCGGATTGTCTTTACAAAATTTTATTAAATCTCTGTGTGCACCAAGTAATTTTTGTTGACTTACGTCATTTTTATCCTTCGTGTTCAGAAGTTGTGCAAATTTTGGAACCGCGATATTTCTGATCGTTGTGAGATTATTAATATTATTTCGTTTGCTATTACTCTCTATGTCCTTGATGAATTCATGTATCGCTGTTTTTTTACTAATATTCGGAAGACAGAATTTATCACCCATTTGCAACAGATTAGAAACGTTAGGCGGAATGTCTGTGTTGGAAAGATTAACAAACCATTTTTTATTAGTATTTTCCAAAGGGTTAATTGTATCATTGAGAAATTTATTGGCTTCTATGTGTATATTGATCTCCTTGGCATCATTAGTGATTGCCCTGAGAGAATTTTGTGATATTTTCGTCGGTTGTGAAGTTTCAAAATGTAAAGAACAATGTATATCTATAGGTTTGATGCTGTTGATATACTTATAGTGTTGTTTTCTCTTAAGCCAATTGAATTTCTTTTCGTGTGCAGTAACCAATCTGTTGTGGCAATTTTTAAAAGCAATGTTATGATGTTCGAAAATTCTATTCCACGCGAGTACAGGTAAACGATTAAATAACCCGCTGGTGAGATGAAAAATCCTATTTTGTAATGACTCTACCTGTCTATGCAAATCAAAGATTTCAATGCTCATCGCATTTGTTTTGAATTTGTACAACATACTATCTAGTCTTCTGATCGATCTGTGATGAAAAACGTTAAATTTAATGCGGCAAAAACCTTCTAAATGTGTAGGAAAAATATCGCCATTTTTACAATTTCTTAAAAATTCCAATTTTGCTCTCGCTCTTATTAACAAGTAATTCGCATTAATCCATTGTTTAAAATAATCTGCGGTTATTCTTCCAAAAACTCTATGAATAAAATTAAAATTAAAATAGTAATCAGTCCGTTTTGTGTTAAATTGACGCATTGTAAGGCCAGCGTATATTAAAAATAAATTAATACAATTGTCGCTCGTATATTGAAAACAAAGTGATAAATATAAGGCCAACTTATCGAGCTGAATATTCGAGATGTTCAGTCAACTACCATTTATTACATGTATAAATTATAAAACTACAGTCATTATATTAAAACTAACGCAAATTACAATCATTCTATAAACGTTTCGACCGCACGCGGTCTTCTTCAGTATAATTATTGAAATATAAATTCTTACAATTCACATAATATCGAAATTTAATTATAGTTATTCAGAATCAAGAGTTTTTGAGCAATTAACGCGTGTTTCAATCCGTCCTGTCCAACAATGTTCGCCTCGATATGATCCCTGATTTTGTTCAGATCTCGGATAGTTTCATCGTTAATATGCGAGAAATTAACCCGTTCCGTAGGCGCTGCGATTTATAAAAAATTACCGATCAACGCATGTCCAAATTATAATATGTATCCCCTACAATTGGTAGTATGCTTACCTATCATCGTTCTTCTTGATAATTTTGCTACTTATTAACGGTTATTAAGGATGACACATAACAAACCAACAATACAGAAAGACAGCTCATTTTAAACTCTACTTGATCGGAGAGGGTGCGTGTTTATATATGATCTAATATCTATGTTTTACTCGTTAATGTCCTATTTGTCCTATTATTATTTCTTGTTCGCTAATATATCCGCATATTAACGATGAAACTATCCGAGATCTGAACAAAATCAGGGATCATATCGAGGCGAACATTGTTGGACAGGACGGATTGAAACACGCGTTAATTGCTCAAAAACTCTTGATTCTGAATAACTATAATTAAATTTCGATATTATGTGAATTGTAAGAATTTATATTTCAATAATTATACTGAAGAAGACCGCGTGCGGTCGAAACGTTTATAGAATGATTGTAATTTGCGTTAGTTTTAATATAATGACTGTAGTTTTATAATTTATACATGTAATAAATGGTAGTTGACTGAACATCTCGAATATTCAGCTCGATAAGTTGGCCTTATATTTATCACTTTGTTATAAACAGTATTTCCTTTTATTACATATTCTTATAGCTGATTTTTGAAACTTTTTTCTTTTTTTTTCTTTTTTAAAACATTCAAGATGACCCTCATATGACCTTCGCAAAGTGATATCGCCATTCGATGCAATATTTGAAAGACTGTAATTTTTGTTTAAAATAATTATTTTATAAAATTCATAGTTTTCGAAATAGAATAGATGTTTCGTACTTTTTCCACCTTGTATATAGATGTGTGTGTAAAATACCATATGGCACAGGTGTTTCTAGATAATATCAATCATAATCATTTCGTTTTCTATCCTCAGCAAGCATAAGCTATCTTTTTAAGCATCACAAAATGAAATATAAGAACTGAAGTCTGGCAAAGCGGAATGTGATTAAAATCACTCTTTCAATGATAACAATTTATAATATTTATTATGCAAAAAATTATCGTTGGAATTTATAAAACTTTCTTAACTTTTAAATATTTTAAAAATACAATGTTTGATTGTACAGAGAGGAAATATTTTTCCAACTTTCACAATTTTCAGTCGATCTAAAAATTGTTGAATATATTGATAATAAATCTGAGATTAAATATCTGAGATTAATCCAAATTAACGGTCTTAAACTGATTTATTATTGCATTTATATCTAATCTGCATTACATTTAACAGATGCTTAGAGCATTGATTAAAAATCTAAAATAAAAATTATAAGTTTCAATATATGGTTTTAATGTCAATTGCAAATGGATGTATTGTTTCATATTTTGTAATTTTTTTCTACAAATTAATAATCAAAGATTTTAAAATTTTCTTTATACAGGATGAAACGTTATAATATATAAAGTCAACATATTTTGTGGCAAATTATGTATTAAATAAATATACTGTTTTCAAGAACGAAATCTGTTTACACTTTAAAATATAAAATAATTTAAAATAAATAAAACATTTGTCGGTCTAAAGATTAGATGGTGTCTTATAGATTCTACAATACAAAAAGTTTAACCAATTTTACAATATCTGCATTAGAGGCTAAAAATCACTAATATTCTATTCTAGCTACTAATTATTCATACAACTTTCAGTCTTTAATAATCTTACAGCAGGGAGCAGTTCAGTTGGCCCTTCAAAACAACACATTCTTCATCTTCAATCTTTCTTCTTCTTACATTCAGAAGACAAAGCTATCAAATTGGAGTGTGAACTGGACTATACCCATTAAGGCTCCTAGATCCTCGTCGCATGTTAAATTATGACATCAGAAGCGAGAAAACGCACGCTGAAAACTCTTAGATGCCATTTTTAAATGAAAAAATGTTTTGATGAGACACTATTTCAGCTATTTCAATTATTCTTTTCCTTTGACAGTCAATCAACAACCATAAAATGATCGTCATATTATACTTTGTCTGAAATACTGTGTTAATATTTTAACACAAAATAAATGCAACATTTCAAGTAATTTAAAATAAATTTTTTGTAAAGTTAACATAGTTTTAATGTAAAAATTAACTAAAGATATGTGCATTTTAGATGTTATCATTCCCACTTATATTATAAAATAAAAAATCAACATTTTTTTTCTGTAAATTTTGACAGATAAATCTTGTCACTAATAAAACAGAACATATTTATTATGTAAAATTAAAAATCGATGCACATTTTATTTTCACATTTTTTTCAAGCAATATATATAGCCATATATTAAATTAACACATGAATATGTTATAAATATTTAACAGAAAAATATTAACGGGGACCGTTTTTAACAAAAAAAACACAAATTTTCCTACTGTGTAGTTTTCGAGATATTTTAAGAGTGCGCTAAAACTATGCTGTTTCATCAAAAGATCTTTTTTATTTCGAAACTAGGCATCTAACAACTTTTAGCCTGTGTTTCCCCGTTTCTGACATCACGATTCCAACATAATCAACGAGGGACCAGGAGCCTCAATATCTACCAACTATTCAATCTACTCATTGCTTCGTCATAAAATGATCGTATACACGACAAAGATGATACGACATAACGGATTGTTCTCGCTCTCATAATCGTCGAATAACAGAAATGTCAACTGTCGCTCTGAATAGAGGTCAGATATAAGTTCGATCGATGCTTTCAGGTATTCAGGGCGCGCACCCCACCGGAGGCGATGGACCTGGTGGCGCGGCTGCTGGAGTACACCCCGTCGCTCCGTATGACGCCGCTGCAGGCGTGCGCGCACTCCTTCTTCAACGAGCTGCGCGAGCAGGGGACGCGGCTGCCGAGCGGTCGTGAGCTACCGCCGCTCTTCAACTTCACCGAGCACGAGCTGCGCATCCAGCCGGTCCTCAACAGCATGCTGATACCCAAGTACATGCAGTCGTCGGCCGCCACCGCTACTACCACCGGTACGGAGGGGAATAATCCTGGCGGAGGTGTGGGCGGCGGAGGTGGTGGCGGTCAATCGGACGCCGCCGCCAGCGCTAGCGGTAACTCTAATGATAATAGCGTTACCAGTCCTATCACCACCACCAACACCATCAGTACCAATACACAGAACACTGACTCCAGCCAATCAAACATGGCTTGAATCGCTTCGCTCTTCTTTTCCTCATTTTTCTTTTTTTTTTCTTTTTTTTCCTTTTTAACGTTGTCAAGAAGGAAGATCAGATCGCAGCGGAGTTATATGACGAATTATCTTCTAATTATCTTCTGACGAGGATGTCCATGTTGTAAATGCGATATACGGAGTGTCCCGTTTTTTTTAATCGATCGCCGTCAATTTTCTTTTTATTGATACAGGACATTGTACAACAAAATGTTTTGAACGAACATTTGAAGGGGGACAGAAGATCTGGTGCTACAGACTTTTCTAAAGGGTGCTTTTCTTGATTCCTCGCAACTTTCGCAACTTTCGGCACAAGAAGTTAGATGATCAAAAAATGAATAGTTCATGAGATATTTTATATTTAAATTTGATGTAATTTTATGTAAACTTTAAAATATATTTTTTGACAACTGAACTTTTATTCATAAAATAATGAAAAGAGTCGATTGATATAAAAAAATATAGCTGTAAGAAAAGATATGTGCCTGCTGTTATACAATTTACATACTTTTTTTTAAAACGCCTATGTGTCTTTACACCAATTGATTCGTGTTATTTTGTGAATGAAAGTATTGAAATAAGATCGTCGAAAGATTAGTGTTTTACAAGATAGTTTATGTAAAATTATGTCGAATTCAAATATAAAATATGTCATAAATTATTCACTTTTTGGCCATTTTAAGTGAATGTTGTCAGGAATCGATTATATAAAAATAATACAGTGGTTCCATTTAAAAAAGCAATTAAATTTTAAAAACATTGATCTTAAAATGATCTTGAAAATCGTTCTTTAAAAAAAAGTTTGTAATATCCTTCTTTTGTCCCTCTTTAAATCGAACAATTTTTGTTTGAAACATTTTGTTGTACGATAAATAAAAAAATTTTGGGGGTGATCGATTAAAATGGGACACCCTATATATTTCATTGCGGAGTTTATAGATATAAGGATTTTTTCACCTTTTAGAGAGCGAGAAGTTATTAGCGTAGTACAGCGACGCGCGACTCGGCGAGAGATTAAGGTTTCTCATCCCGTCATCAACGGTTATCAGTCATATTGAACGCGTTTATGACATCAGGAAACTCGTATATGTTGAAATAAAAAAAAAAAATCTTTGTCACATGTTTAACACAAAACTCTTGTTTGATGAATGAAATTTATGAAACGTGCTGTTTCCTTTCTCGATTTGTAAAATTACTTTCATATAGCAAATATGGAATATACATATATATAAATAAAACTCATATATTTGCTATAACATACAAATTGAGCTTTCAGATATCAATTTTTATAAATGAAAAAGGAGTCAGCGCATTTTATATAATAAAAAAAATATAAATATTTATATATATATATATATATATATATATATATATGAATTAAATTATTTAAGAAAATATTTCGTCAATTTTTTGGTATTTTTTTTTTTTATTATTGAGAGTTGCATGTAAAAAAACTAATTTATGTGCACAATATATGCAAGAGAGAGAGAGTGGAAAAAACAACTTATATAATTTGCTATTTCTGATGCTATAAAAAGCAATATGACTTAGGAGCCTTAATGATACTATATTGTTGCCGAATCAGATTCAATGTATATATATATATGTAGGAATTGGTCCTTCTTTAACTTTAAATAACCGCTGAATGCGTTTACTCTAGTTAAAGATATAAACTAAAAGAATGTGTAATCTAATGTGTCTAGTAATGTCATTTGCATCATCATCGTTTTATACTTTAAGACACCGTGGTATCGAAGCTCGACGAAAATATCAATTTAAGAGGAATATATAAGAATACCGAAATAATAATAATTGAAAGAGGATGTCTTTCGTCAGATCAGAGCGATGCAATTTGATGACAAATTCATAATTATTATATTTTATGTTTATATTGAGAAAAAAATGGTCCCTCTTTAACTGATAATTAAATGCGACTGTAATTAAATACAGTCGAATGTCCGTATCGTGAATTTCGTCGAGAGACCAAAGAACGTTTTTATTGTGAATTTTTTTCACACACATACACACAGATTTCTTTCTTGCTTATTTTTTTTTAATGGCACATGCGTCGTAGAATGAAAATGTCAATCCTCACTTGCTTTCTCATTCTTTATGTTATCACGCGATCACGTGACAAATAATAAATAAGAAGAGACTTAGCGCAAGAGAAAAGACATGAGATGTTTATTATTGAGTTGTGTTTCACAATACAAGGTCGCAGAATACAAGAGTTTACTATACGAACATTCAACTGTACATATTTGCATTATATATTGCTGTATATATTGCATTAGATTATGTGTAGATATTTTTAGACAGAGTTAAATATCTGCAAAATTAATCGAGAGAGAGAGAAAGTACCGACGATTAAGAGAAAACTTATTATGCTGTTGACGTAATAATTCGGTGGCAAATGAGTTCTTCTATCGCCGAATTTACTTAAGAATGCATTCGAGAACTGGTTTTTCTTTAATCGATAATTGCTTAAAATGATTCACCGACCCGGCAGACTCTGGTTTGAAAGCAAACTGTAAACAATGTGTAATCAAATGTCTAGCAATTTGTTATTACTACATTGCAAAAAAACTCAGCTTTGAGGATAAGAATTGGAGAAAGACCATTTGTGCTATTGATGTAATTTAGCGTATATATAGAAAATTGGTCGTTCTCTAATAACTCTAATAACTGCTAAAAACGCGTGATTCTAACTGACGAAAACAAAACTGACAAAAAAAAGGATGCGTAATAATTTGACATCTCATAACATTATTTTATCAGAAACAACGCAGGATCGAAACCGATATAATTTCACTGAGCCTATATTCGAAGATTCTTCTTTATTTATTTGCATTAATAAAACGATAACTGTCTTTATGACACTTTTTTACGGAAAATTAAGTTTTCTTGGAACTATACTGGTTTCGAATCTTCATACATGGTCATTGCTGCGAGATCAGTTTAAAATAAGAAAGAAATTAAATTAAATTAATTATCACACTTTCCTCGCAAGACAAATTCTATTTCCAGATTATAATTTTCTGAAGGTTTCAGTCAGACTAAGGATATTAAAAATGTGTATTAAAAATGAATAAAAAAGAGTAACAATGATTACAAATGATTACAATGATGACAAATTATAATGATATTAATATATCAATAATACTGATGGTCCGTTTTTCGTCTCGACTGAAATAATCTTGTAAGTGAATTATCATGGAAAAAATTCTCTGTCTTGCGTTTAGTTTTCTAACGAATTTCTTTCATTAATCTATTATACTGATAAACAGAAAAAAATACGTTTTACAGAATGTCCCATAGGAAATTGCTGAAACTAATCAGCTGTCATTTTTTAATGCATGCAGTTATTGAAAAAACAAAAATTGTATTGGAAAGAGGAAAGTCTACAGTTTTGTAATATAAATAATATAAATAAAATGTTTGCATGCTAGTTTATTTTATTGATAAAATGTAATGAAAAATGTACTAATAATCACATATGTAAGCTAATGATAAATATTTTCGAGGTGCGCACCATTTGAATTTGCACAAAACACAATTTTTGTTTTCTCAATAACTGCATGCATTAAAAAATGACAGCTGATTAGTTTCAGCAATTTCCTATGGGACACCTTGTGTATATAAAAGATGTCTTTTTCAGATATAAAAACTGATCGACTTGCCGCAAAATGACTAAAACGCTATCATACGCCAGCATAATTAGAGGGAACGTTAACTAGCAAGCTGGAGCATTTAGAAGACATATTCGTGCCTGTCAATCATGTCTCGGCGCGTTAAGGCTCCTGACTCTTCGTCGACCTTGGAATTGTGACGTCAGAGCTTAGAAGACACATGCTAAAAATTTTTAGATGCCATTTCGGTAAAGTGGCACTTCAGATAGCTTTAGCACACTCTTAAAATACTTATTCTTTTCCCTTTATATCAATCAACAAATTGCAAAATGAGTGTAATATGATATATAAGTTTGTCTGACAGTCTGATCATTTCACAGTTGATAAACTATGAAGAAAAAAGAACAGTTTTCGAGGTATTTTAAAAGTGTGCTAAAGCAATATTTTTATTTCAAAACGGCATCTAAGAATTTTTAACGCGTGTTTTCTCACCTCTGACGTGGATCCAGGAGCCTTAAGTCGTTATCCCTAGCACTGTCGCTATCATTATATTGATTTTCTCTAGATTCTCGGCTATCCAAATCTTTTTCTTTTCTTTTTGTTTTTTTTTTTTTTTTAATTGTAGTTGACGAACTTCTGATCGACCCAACAGAGCGATTTACCATATTTTTAAACCAACGACACGTTGTCACATGGCGAATTTTTGACATGCATTAATGAAATCGCTTCAGTAACGAAGAAATCTCTTTTTGCGTATTAAGCATGTTCCCGGAATTAGTTATGCGAAAAAAAACAGCAGTCGAACATTCGAATTCTTTTTCGAAAAGAACATACATGTGATAAGGAAAAAACTTTCTAAGATTAAGAAGAATTATATATCATATTAGATCGTTTTGTTTCTTGCGAAATAATTGAAGAAGTACGAAAAAATTTGTAACATAATTTTAATTTTCAAGATTTAATTTCAACAATTGAAACGATCAAATAATATTTAAATGTAATATAATAAATATAAATTATCTTTTTATACATATATTTTAAAAATACATATATATTGAGTTGTTTTTGGCAACAACTTTGTAATATGTTAATTATTATAAAAAAAATGCAGTTATGCAAACATAAAATCTATTTGTTAATATTTTTAACAGAATGTAAAGCTGCAGAAAATTGAAGATATAAAAATACAATTTTTTAGGTTTATATGTATAAAAATTTAAAGATATACATATAGACATAGGATGATTTATTTTATTAATCGATTCAATTGAATAACTCAGAATGATATTGTTTCCTTTAAATTAGATATAAGTTGTTTGATTTTGAAAGTAATATAAAATCTTGATGATTTTAATTTAAGTTGAAATATCAAGATTATTTTAAAATCTTTGAATTTACATTTTTTTTATTCCATATTTACTCTTTGTATCTCGAATTTTTTGGTCATAATTCGATTATTCTTTAGATATATAATATTTTATATCCTCTTTGAAACCAAATATATAATAACTTTTATTTAAAATAGTTTTCACAAAAATTTGTTTTCGAATTATTTAGCTGGATCGATTAAAATAAATCATCTTATATGTAGCATAAAATTGAACTCTCGCACTTGAATTCCGGGTCACAGCAGTTATACTTGCATGTATATACATATCATTGCGACAAAAAACATAAAGTTCAAGCAATTTGGTTCCTTTTTTCAAGAGAGAAACTAGAAAACGAAGTAGCATAAAATTTGAAAGGAGAGTAATGTAGAAGAGTTAAGGGTTTTGAAGGTCAAATTAGAATTTTATGGGCGTGTTGAAGGTATTAAAATTAAGTTTTTAGATCAGTAACTTCTTTCTTTCTTTTTAATGCTACATTTCATTATTTAGTTTTAAATGAAATCGCACATCGTCTATATTCCTTTTTGTTTCAAAGAAGTACACATGGGATACGCTCTGCAAAATGTCTTCCGATTTCAAAGAAAGGGACAAAAGTACGTCTTGCGCAGAAAAAAAATGCAAACGTATCGACGATAGAAAAATATTAAACTGATGACATTCTAGCCATATATTATGTACAGATATGAATCGCACCGTTCTACAAGAATTATACTCGAATCGAATAAATAATGTGATCGAAAAGGATTTATGCTGCTGCATAAAAATGCATATAGAACGCGTTTAATTGTAGAGTTGAAACTCTTGCACGTTAAGAGCAATTCTTTCCAAATAAATTGATTTTTATTATAACTCTAGGTGTGGTGCGCGTGTTATAAAGATTAATTATTCTGTAATTGTTTTCTTTATTAGCGGTGTATTTATATATAATCCTGAGAAATGGCTGGCTTGAACGATACCTTCTACATGTTGTCACGTTGATAACATCATGTAAACATCATTATTTCGAGAAGAAATTTCGAAATGCTATTCTTTGCGAAATTACACCGGCTTGTATCTCCAAATCTGTTCGTTTTAGTTGCACTTTTCTTCTGTTTTCTTTTTTTTCAAATATGTATATGTTATATATACACCTTGATACATCTATTTTATTTTATTGATGCGAAAGAAAGTGTAGCTGAAATAAACAACTGTCCCCTGTTTCTTTTTGAGTTTGAAGCGACTATCGTCAAGAGAAGTGTTGAATTTTTGAAAAACAGAGGAAAGAGAGAGAGAGAGAGAGAGAGAGATCAGCCGGAAATCTGTGAAATAGAGAAACGATAAATCTTAATAATAATATACGAACATTGAATCAAAGCACAGCTTGGACATAGATATTGTTGATTATTTATCGTGATTATTATTATTAATAAACGAAAAATTCATCGATTTTTTCGGTTTTAATTAATTCCTTTCTCATGTCTCATCTCATCTCACCACAATTTGTCTTTTCGATCTTATTGTTTCCTTCAACGCGTCCTCTCGATATCGCTTATGGAAAATTTATACTCGCAAATGGACTTTTTCTGTTATTTAATAATTTATTATGAGGCAGCGCACAAACCTGATAGTATGAATGTCAATATAGAAAACAAATGTAAAATATTGAGTTTGTATATTTTCAATATTGATCGAGAAATTCGCATATTTTGCATTTTTTATCATTGTTAAAAGCCATTTGAGGAAAAATGAACGAATCTTTTCATGAAGTTAAATACACACATCTACGTATATATACAATTTAATTTATAGAATTAAATATTTAACTTATTAAAATTAAATTTGTTTTTTAATCTTTTGTTTTTTTTTCAATACAATAATGATACGTTTTATTATTATTACCAGTAAAGAATTAATTAATATATATATATATGTATGTATATATTATAAGTAATTCTCTAATAATGATTAATAAGAACGCATCACCACTATTTATTGAAGAAAAAGAAATTGATCAAAAGAAAGAAAAGATTAGAGAGAGAACAAAATTTATTTCTAAATATTATTGATTATAATATTAATTAAATATTATATTCTCTCTTTTTCTTAATTTACCAATATGTTATTCGTTAAATCTTTTTATTTTAACATTATTATTTACAGTCTAATCTTTTTTCAAGTATAGTGAATAAAATGTAATATTTTTATAAACAAGTTTATAATAATGTAATATATATAATATATACGTGTATGTGTATAAAGATATAAAAAAATCAAGAATTCAAAATTGTAAAAAAAAAATAATTACATTATGTATTTTAATTAAATTATTTCAAAATTTCGTAAAAACTTATTTTTAATTATATTTTTACGTGTGTGTGGAAAAAATCTTTTGCAGCAATATAATACATTCTAACGAATATTCTTTAAGTTCTGACATTACGAATGTGCGTGTCTGCTCATATAACATTATTCTTATTGTGGTACATATTAATATATGTATAAGGTAAGAATTTTTTAGCAAGTGACTTATACAACATAGATCGATACTATCGTATTTCTTTGCAAAAAATAAACTATATTGTTTTCATTCTTTAATATGTCAATACGATGCATTTGCTGTTTCTTGATTTTTCGTGTAAATAATTCAATTCGTGTAAAAATGTTTATTCTGTTATAATTAAATATAATCATCTAATTATAAAAGTATTATGCTGTCATTTGCAAATTTATTTTATGTCATTTAAAATAAAACTTTTAAATTTGTCATTATATATAAAAATTAATTATTAGACTTAATTATAACAGAACTACTGAAATTTTTCACGCAAATCGAAAAACAATTGCATTTTATTAATATATTAAATAATAAAATATTTCAAAAACAATGTGTATTTGAATTTTTTAATATTGTTTATTTTTGGTAAGGAATATGATAATATCGATCTGTGCTTTATGTATATAATGATTATATATTTATATACTTTGAAATCGTGATACAATCAGAAAAAGGATATTTAATGCAAAAATAGGTCGAAAATGTAAAATAAAATTTTTCCAAGAATATTAACTTTGACAGAATTGATAAATTAACGTTTAAACTTTCTTTAAACTTCAGAATATTTAATAATTTGTAATTATGTCAAATTTTGAGATATATATAAATACATATAATAAATACAAAATTGAAATATATAATAAGAATGTTCCATTTAATAAAATAATTTGTTTATTAATTAATTTAAGTTACTATGTCTATGGAAGAAAGTATCAAGATCATTTTTATTTTGTTAATGGAATATTTTTTTTTTACAAGAAAAATTATAGTTTGATAGTCAATGTTTAGAACTGAATTCGCGATGATGTATAACAAGATTTTAATAGAAGTTATTCAAACTTTAAAAAGGCAAATATATTAATTTGTAATTATCAAAACTATTTTTCTCGCAAATAAAGTCTCAAATGAAAAATATTTTATATTTTTGACTTGTTTTTTTTACGAAAAATTCTTAAAATAATTTTGCACCACGATTTCAGACAATCTTTTTTAATTTGCGCTATTTTCCTAAAATATTTATAACTATGGTTATCTTAATGGATTTATTAATCGATCACTAAAAAAGAGGGTAATCTTACATATAGTTTATCATTTTTATGATAAACAATTCAATTACAATGAATCAAAAGTTAACTTTGAAAAATTTTAATTATTAATAATTGCTTACTGTTTCTCTATTTTTATAGCTGTGTACTGATTTTAATTTAAAATAAGAATTTTGAATTCTTAATTTTTTTTTTAATTTTTAAGAATGTATCACATTCAAGAAATTAATTTATATATATATATATATATATATAGACACGTACAACACATACATATACACACACATACATATATACAGGGGCTCCCATTTTAATTGCATATCCACAATCGTCTCGTTTTGAGGACACTTTATATATATTTTTTCATTTTAATTATTTTAAATAATATTTATATTTAGACGAACAGAAAATATCTTTCAACCTTAATTTTGAATATTTTACGTATATAATTTTATATGTATACGTATTTTTCTCTAAATTTATTTTAACTTATTCTAATTACTTTTTTCCAGAGATTCGTTACAAATATCTTTTATATATCTTATTAACTCATAATATCAATTAAAGTTATAGTTATATTTAGTGCTTTTCTATATCAAAGTATTTGATATTAAGGTATGAGATTAAAAATAGAAAATTTAAAATAATTTTAACTTTGGATATTCTCATCAAAATAGTATAAAAAATCTTATTCTAAAATAATATTCTAGATATATACATTATTTACATTTTTCAAGCTTATTGTTAGTTGATAACAAGCCTTTTATTGCAATAATAAGTTAACTTTCTCCAAATTCTAAAATTTTCCGTGTACTTATCACATGGTTACTATTTTATAATAACTTGATAACATTGCACATTTTCATCAATTTAATTTACTTCTATGACATAAATATAAATTAATAATCGAGTAAATATTCGCACGAGTGTAATAAGTTGTATAAAGATATGTGAATTGAATAAATTAATTCAGACATTATTGTGTCTAGTAAAAATATTTAAAAATTACTTGAATTTTTAATTTAAACTAACATATAATCTTTTTTTTTTTTTGTTTGTTTTAGAGAAGCAACGAAGAAAAATTTAAACCAAAAGTTACTTTTTATTTCTGAAGATATTTATAAAATAATTTTATTTACTAATAATAGGTATATAAATTTTAATACAAAATAACATTTCTAATTGTCGTGAAAAATATTTAATATACAGAGAATAAATAAGATAATTTATAAAAATAAATAAATATAATTTGAAGAAAAAAATATATGCATATCAAAATATTCGAATCATTTTATGCAATTTTTTTATTCGTGTTAAAGAAAATCGAAATACATCGTAAAAAAGATTAATTAATAAAAATTATACTTCGCGACCTGATTCTTTTTTTTACATTCCTCAATATCGCATTTTAGATGAGGACAAGGACGCTAAGGAGGCGAAGGAGCAGGAAGGCCACCAGGAGCAGCCAGTGGTAGATGGGGAATAATAGGAGAAGCTACATCCAGATCTGATGCAGAGATCACATCGCGCGCCGATCGGATGGATACGATGGCAGAGATATATCCTTCGGATGCTATAAAATAATTAAAATACAATCGAGATAACATCTCCGATCGCGCGAGCGCAGTAAGTCCTTAATGTTTAAGATTCATGAATGTACGATATTAGGGAGAAATTGTTTAATATACATAGAGCGCGTACGTAAGCGACAAAAAATATTTACACACTACACAGTTAAATAAAATAAACTTACAAAAAAGATGATTAAGAAAAAGAAGTAAACGGAGTAGTGCTAGTTATCACCACGCCTATATACGATAAAAACGCGCTAATTCAAATGTCGTGAATAGGTATGAGATATATATGTGCGCACGTGTGTGTGTGTGTGTATGTGTGTTTGGAAATAAAAGTGCGTTTGAATGAGAGAGAGAGAAAGGCATGTACATACATATATATGTATGTAATATATAAATAAAGCGCATATATATATGGATATGTATATGTATGTATAGGTAATTAATAATATGATTACACACTGTACTACTGCGGTGAACAAAAGTATATAAAGAAAAAAGTAGTAAGACTCTTATTACACGATTGCTATGTTTACAATTATATATATATATATATATATATATATATATATATATACAATGTCTTATAAATATATTTATATGCATATATATATATATATATATATATATATATATATATATATATATATATATATATATATATATATATATATATATATATATATATATAAATAATATAAATACACACAAACACACATCTTTACCTACCGTTCTCATTTCGCTATTTCTCCTCTATGTTTTCTCTTTCTCTTGAATGTTGTTTTTAGTTTTACAAGACATGACGCAAAAAGAACGCATTAATCGTAATTAATGACGATTATCGACGAATACCTTATAATATAACTTTACTCTGGATGTGTTTAAGCGAGAAAAAAAATCACGCGAGACCGTCGCGCCGTCAGTCACTCTATATAATAATATCATTGTACATTTTGTGGTTTATTTAACAATAAAATATTAACAATAATGTTAATCGCCGCTCAATTCTTCTCTCATTACCGCACGCAGAATAATTTTGTGTGTGTGTATATATGTATAGATATCACTCTGTCATATAGAGGTATACTTTATTATATTTACTTTACGTATAAAAAAAGAAAAAACCAACAAATATTTATTATTCTTTATATAAAATGCATCGCGTCTTCATAAGTGTATGTAATATTAAATGTACTGTGCAGCATTTTCTCTCTATATTAATACAATCTATCTATAAGTTTTTATCTTAAGTAGCAAATACATGACATCATTCGACGTCAAAATGACGTACATTATATTTGCAATCTGGAATATTATTAGTGAACAAACAAAGATTTTAGGAAGTAAAAATGAACTTTTTCAGTGTGAGAGAAAATGAAGAAAGTGAGGAATGGTCCTGGAACTTTTTCAGCATCGTAGAAAAATATATCCTCGAGATCTCTTTAGCCAAGAAGAACCTTTCTAATCATTGCGCCGCTAACTAGCTCCTCATCGCTGTCGCGTAAGTCGATGCACTTGCTGCTGCATAAATATTGTAGTAAAGGTAAGCGATACTTGCCGCAGAAATCAACAAACTTGATGTGCTCCACGCGATTATTGAAAAAGACGCCTGCACAAAAAGAAAAATATAAAATATTTTGGTCTGATCAAAAGTTGTATCTGTCATCGGGGATCTGATAATTTTTAATTTACACAGTTGCACATTTTTGAAAATCTTTCGTAAAAACAGATAAGTTTGCGAAAAGAAAATATGAAAGTATTTTAAAAATTAAGCTATTCTTATTATCATGAAATTCGGAATGACAAGTCCCAATATTTTTCAGCCTCTTTGTATATAATTTATTATATTATTTTTATTTACATGCTAATATAAATATAGATTTTTCTTATTTGTCGAAAAAGTTTTACCTTGTGTTAAGATTATACAAAAATATTAATTATAAGATTTAAACAACTCAAATTCTACATATATTAAATCAGTTGATAAACTGAAGAGATTAAAAAAAATGAAAAAAATTTTAGAATAGAAAAAAAGAAACTGAAATTATTATTAGAATAGGAGAAGTCGATTATATTAATTATATTATCTATTATGCTGAATTATTGCGCTCTTCAAAAACTTACCCTTGCACTTAGGATTGACACAATGATGAGCACTGTTAAGGTATTGCACTAGGTTCCGAGGTAAGCTCTCATCATCGTAGCAAACATCGCTAGTTTTAATGGCACGTGCTGCTAATTCTAATAAGGACGGCGGATTGTACGTCATATCGGATACGAATCTCACCACCAGTGGATTGTCTCGTAGAGATAACTATACGAAGAACATATATACAATTATTTATTATATATAACTGTTAAAATATTCAGACAGCTTTTATATTTTCGTTGTGATAGATAATAGCAGGGTCGTTGGGTAAGTTAATGAATTTTTAAAACTAACAAGGGACATGTCACAACTGTCCGGAACCGATTTGATTCTCCTTGAAATATGTTGTTAAATACACAAATCTAAAAGACACGTATTTTTTTATACGTGCGCAATTTGAGTTTTAAGGGGTGAAACACCCCTTTAAAGAATAACGGTATTTTTCTTTAGGATCAAATATCTGCTAAACTATAAGAGATATAAAGAAAAAACGTACAACAAATTTTAATGGCTTGAAGAGTACTTTAAAGTTATATGAACAAAAATTTTTTTTTTTTTTTTTTTTTTTAAAAAACCCTCACCACCTAATTTTTTTTTTCAAAATTAAAAATTTTGTTTTACCTAATTTAAAGCTTATTTTTTTCCAAATTCAACCATGTGTAATAAAGTTATGTTACGAAATATCATTTTCGAAAATTAATTATAAACGCTCCCGTATATACGCTCATCCGTGCTATGTGCGTAAGTAATTACCGTCGAACAATAAAATATATAAAAAATGTTTTTGTATAATTCTTATTTATGTTTTCTATGTATTTATAACTGCGTATTGTGTATATTTAGATTTAAAAAAAAATTTTTAAATATAATTAATAAGAATTTTTTAAATATACCCCCTGCTTTCTTATTATTTCTTTAATATTTAATTTCTTCTATAAAAATTAAAAACAATTATATTTTATAATAAAATTATTTTTTAATTGAATCTTGCGAATACCAATGTCGCAATATTTGGCATAAACAAATTTTATATCTTACGTTAAATGAATCATAAGATAAGATTATGTGTACGTGTTCCAGATAAGTTATAATTTTTACAATAAAATCTTTAATACGTTAAAATAAATAATAAAATAAGATTATGTGATGACGTATTTCTGATAAGTTAATATAAATTGTTCATGTAGCAGCATAATTCTCACAGTCGGTGTAGTCTTTTCGTTGTAATAATATCTGTGTAAACTGTTCTTTTATTGCAATAGAAAGCAAAATATAACATCTTTGAATATGATTATCAATCCGCTTAACGTTGTTAGACTTTTATTGGTGTCAATAAATTCAATATATTTAACAGAAACGCCAGTAACTGAAGCAGAAGTGGAATTAAAGGAAAACATTAAAAAATATTACTGGATAGCGTTTTTCATTATAATGGGGTGGAAGTAACGGAAGAAATATATCTCGATTATGAAGAACCTTATAAATTACATAGTTTTGAAATAATTGAAGATGACGAAGAAGCATGGCATGAAGATAGTTTAAATTCTCATCCTCATTGTTCAAATGATGATACAAATTTTGATAGTTCTTATAAAAGACGAGCTGTTGAGTATTGGCGATTTCGGGACACTGATGAAAACAGTAATGACAGAAAAAGGAATCGTCCTCTAAGAGTAGTACAAAATAAATTTAGAAGAGTTTCATCTGAACGTCAGTTAAGGCGATGGGAAGAACAAATACAATCAGGTGGAAGTCGTACAGAAAAATTATCTTACATCTCCAAATTTACACATGATAAATTTACTGCAGCTGTCGAATCAGGATTCATGGTTCATGATATTGATTTAAAAAGATGGGCTTTACAAGCTCAAGAAGAAATAGGAAATTTAAATCCTATATTTAAAGCATCTCACAGTTGGATAGCAAGATTTAAGAAGTCTCACCGAATTGTTTCAAGAAAAGTTACGAAGTTTGTCACTAGAAGAACATTAGAAGATTCTGCTGATTTGCAAAAATCAGCTGATGATTTTCTGGAAACAGTAAAACCTCTTATTGAACAGTTTGGATCTGAAAATATTTACAATTCAGATCAAAGTGGTTTCCAATTGGAACTTCACTCTGGAAGATCATTGTCTAACCAGGGAGAAAAGAAAGTAGAACGTGTCGTGCAATCCATATCATCAACAACCCATTCATATACGATACAACCAATAATATCCTGTAATGGCAATTTGTTGTCCCCTTTATTTATTGTATTAAAAGAAGCTAATGGTAAATTTGGACCAAGAGTACAAGAAAATTTATTTAAAGCAGAAAATGTTATTGTAAAAGCATCGAAATCTGGTAAAATGACATCAGGTATTTTCCTTTTATAATTACTTTTTTAACAACCTTATTTTATTTAACAATTTAATAAGAGTCATAAAAAAACTATTAAATTAACATTTATATTTTGTACAGATCATTTTAAAATGTGGTTAGAAGAAGCTTATTTCGCAAACATTGGTCCTAATAGCGTTCTTCTTATCGATTCATGGACTGGACATTGCCCCAATATGATTTCGGATTTAACACCTCCTGGAACACATATTACTACTATGATAATACCGAAAGGAACTACAGGGAAAATACAACCATTAGATGTTTATGGATTCAGAATTTGGAAAAATTTTGCTAAAAGATTTTCAGATGCGGTTTTACTGTTGGAAAGTAATATAAACTTACATGAACGAAATAATATAATAAAATTGCAATCTTTGATACATAATCAATTGTCATCCCCACGATATCAAAACTTATTTAAATATTCGTGGTTTAAAAGTGGTTATACGAATGAAAGACCAGACGAATTCGAAAATCCAGTACACTTTAGTTTAGACGAAACTTTAACAAAATGTGATATCGAAGGTTGCAATAATATAGCTGTAGTAAGATGTTCTTGGTGCAAGAAGTCATTATGTTTGAAACATTTTTTGTCGAATATCATTATTGTAATGTGTATAATGAGTGAATAATATAAAATGCAAATACATTTTTAAAAAAATCTAAATATACACAATACACAGTTATAAATACATAGAAAACATAAATAAGAATTATACAAAAACATTTTTATATATTTTATTGTTCGACGGTAATTACTTACGCACATAGCACGGATGAGCGTATATACGGGAGCGTTTATAATTAATTTTCGAAAATGATATTTCGTAACATAACTTTATTACACATGGTTGAATTTGGAAAAAAATAAGCTTTAAATTAGGTAAAACAAAATTTTTAATTTTGAAAAAAAAAATTAGGTGGTGAGGGTTTTTAAAAAAAAAAAAAAAAAAAAAAAAATTTTTGTTCATATAACTTTAAAGTACTCTTCAAGCCATTAAAATTTGTTGTACGTTTTTTCTTTATATCTCTTATAGTTTAGCAGATATTTGATCCTAAAGAAAAATACCGTTATTCTTTAAAGGGTGTTTCACCCCTTAAAACTCAAATTGCGCACGTATAAAAAAATACGTGTCTTTTAGATTTGTGTATTTAACAACATATTTCAAGGAGAATCAAATCGGTTCCGGACAGTTGTGACATGTCCCTTGTAAGTTAAGTTATTAAAGTTAGTTGTTTATAAAATTAATTAGTTAAATTTCATGAACAAAAAATTAACCCAGTTAAAGTTAAGATTAAATTAACTGAAGTTAAATCAAAAGTTAATTTTCATAAACATTATTTATATTAAATTAGAATTTTGTTTGTTAATTCTTTTAAATTTATAATAACAAAGAAATTTTGATTTTTATATAGAAATATATTTTGTGGTAATTACAGTTGATTACAAATAAATATAAAAATTAATATAATTCTTTAATTTAAAAATAATACGTTTATAACTTATAAAAATAATATAGTATTCAAAGATAAAAATTTAACTTAGGAAAAAGTTAATAAGTTTATGGTCAAAAATAACTAGTTGAAGTTAAAAATTAATATTTTAAATTAACTAGCTAAATTAAACTTTTAACTAATTAACTAGTTATTACCCAACCCTGACAATGGTATTAAAAATAATAATTGGAATTAATAATTTTTACCCACCTCTGTGAGACATTTCAGTGTTATTATTTCTGTAGGCAATGTGCGCAATCTGTTTTTATGAAGTGATAAAGTTTTTAAATTGTTAAATTAGCTATCGAGCCTGGCAAGCTTTCCAACATATTATCACAAAGCACAAGAGCTTGCAGGACTTTGAGTTCACTGAGAGTGGACGGTACCTCTGTTAATCTGTTCTCCCAACGATAAAACTCGTAACCTTTAATAATTATGTTCGATTTAATAAAATTGACAAAGTAGCTTTTATATATAAAACAACACAAATAAAATAATTTCTTTAAATTACAATTATTTAAATCAATATTGCAATTATGTATTATACACAATGTACATCTATAAATAGAAATTAAGCAATATTATATAATTAAAACGATAGAAAAATTAATAAACTCTAAAATGTGACAACTCTATATAATAAATATTTATATATAGTTAGTTATAAATATTTGTTTTTCTTAAGATTTTTCCTATAAGAAATATTTTGAAATTTGCTCTTAATTATAATTAAAATTTTAAATATCACAATTAAATATTTTATATATGCTACAATATTATTCTTTTGCACCATTAAAAGTTATAGCTATATTTTATAATTTTCTATCGTCGATTATATTAATTTGTTAATTCATTAATTTTTGTAATCATATTAAGACTTTAACTATCATTTAAATTTATTAGAAATTGCGATTATACCTTTGTAGTTTCCAAATATCCTTGGTAATCTCACTGATACGATTACCACCTAAATAAAGGTATCTCAAGACAGCTAGATCGAGCACTTGATGAGGAAATTCCGTCAGTCTATTGCCACTTAAATTGAGTTCTCTCAAATTAGCCAAATTTTCAAAATCTTTAGCCAATCCATCGTTGGTCAGGCTGTTGTGTTTTGCGATTAAGCAAGTCAAGGAGCAATTTTGCCAAAAATCTGGCAATTTGGTGAGGCCGCAATTCGAGATATCGAGGGAATTGAGACTGGTAAATCTATTGATATTAATAGGAAAATTTGTCAAACGGTTCTGGTTCAATAATAAAGTGTCCACGTTCTCCGGGCATTTAATATTAAGGAACTGTTTATCCATTATTTCGTCATCCAGTGATAGATACGATAGATCCAACGTTCTCAAGCTAGAATCCGAGTCGCTGGAGTCCGACGTGTAGTTTTCCATAATTGATACTTTTAATCACTTATTTCAAAATCTTATTCATTTGTGTTCGCCGTTATATGATGCTGAAATGAGAACAAACAGTTTTATTAAATATATAAAAATATAAACACATATATCCTACGCGTATAAATATTTAATTGTGTATATTTTTTTTATTTGTAAATATTCATATATGTATACTGCGTGACTTGCAAGTTTTGTAGAAAAGTTAAATTTACAAAGATGTACAAATATAATTTGTTTAATGATAAATATATATTTATATGATATATATACATGATATTATATGATATTATATGATATATATATATATATATATATATATATATATATATATGATTATATGATTATATATGATGATATATATTTATACATATATATATAACGGAAAAATATATATATAACGGAAAAATAATATTATAATTTTTTTACTGTAAATTTTAAAATGTTTTTAAAAGAAAAAGAGAAAAGCTTATATAATCAAAAATGATAATTTTATGTAAACCGCATCATCATATCGTAATCGCACGCAAGCATGATATAAAGGAAAAACGAAATGTAAACAGTAGTCATAGTATTTTTGTCGATTAAAATATATGACGATGTGACTTTGCATTTAATGTTATATCGTATGCTAAATTAATTATAAAAATAGATGAAATTGGAAGAAATAGTTTCATCCTTTGATATAAAACAGTATAATTATAATCAAATGATTATATATATTATTGCGAATAATTTTCGTTTCTTAAAAATTATTTGCGACTAAAATATAATTAATGTCTTTACTTGACAGCGTTCCTTTTTAATTTTGTGCACTTTGAAGCTACTGCAAAATAGTAAAACGGAACGCACTACAGTACGCTTTCAGCAGCAGATTAACTAACCTTTTTCGCTAATAATCATCGAGTGAAAAATGGTGAAATGGATAATACATTATTGCATTAATTACATATATAATCGAGAATATATATGATTCGAGTGAGTATCAAGTGAAAGCGATTTGGAAATGGAATTAATAAATGAAATGAACGACAAATTAAAATACTAGAATAAAATGTAAAAATAAACAATTATATTTATCATTATATAATATGGAATTTAAAAGTTATTTACATCATAATTGCCATTTGATTTGCGAACTTACCTGCTTTCTTGCAGTTTAGCAATGCAGGAAATAACGTCAAAATTAATGACGTCATATACTCATGATAGTACTTTCGCAGTGTACTGCTATGTATATCGGAACGCTATTGGTAGTACTGTCAGTACTTGCAGTGCATAACGGAACGCACCCTGAGTGATGTCACACAGAGGTTGCATATAGAATGTTACACTTACTTATTACTCGTTTTGTTCGCGCTAACGAGACAATTCTGCTTGTTGTGGCTCCGCTTAATCGACACTTCCGGAAACACACACGATTACGCGTTATTTAATATTTTAGACGGACGGATTTCGCGAAATAAAACGACAAGTAATGACACTCGTCAGCAATCAACAGCGCATGGATGACGATCCATCACCCGGCCGCACGATATCTGAGCTTTATCAGCGCACTCACTGCTTTATTCCTTTTATCATCCTATCACCTCCCCGCCAAACGACGTCATAATCATTGACTAAAATAACAGAACCGTATCGCGAATTCATTTTATATACCAGAATCTGGAATACGTCTTGACGTTTGTCAGTTTATGCTCCAAAATGTCATATTTTTGTTTCTTTTTCAACAGAGAAAATTTATACCTAATATTTTATTTTACTTCATTTTTTATTTTATCTATATTAGTTTCTGTGGACACAACTATGGAGTCTATTCTTTCCAACAGAGAAAGAATTTCTACAGGAATTACTAGACGTCTTGGCAGAGAGACATCTTGCTTTCTGTCTAGGAATGAAATATCTGCATTGTATTCCAAAAGAATTTTAATGATATCAAACTTGTTAGCTACAGTAATATAGTTCAATGCCTATATCCGAATTGAAGATTTACAGGAGAAATACTTTAATAATTACTGATTGAAACAGTTTTCCAATCACTGTCACAGATATTAATGTCATGTACATGTTTTATAAATTTGGTGACAAATTTTGCATCTTGCAATATACAAACATACATTAGAGCTGTTTCTCTATGATCGTAAACTTGGGAATAATTAATGAAGCATCAATTATTCTCAAATTTTAAAAGACCTGCACAGCTATGCTTACCTGTTCATAAAATCATATTTATGCATATTAATACAGATATAATGATTATAATTCAAATGAAATTAATCGACTTTTTAAATATTGTTTTGTGAATTTATTATTATTACTTGTTAAATTAAATAATCAAGCAATATACCTTTGTCCTGTTCATCGTCTGTAAACCTTGCATTAATGTATGAGTAGCTATTCTCTGTACAGTAGCTCTCTGAGCTTTTACAGCTTGTTGGTCATCTGCGATCAATGTCTGCCATTAATTGTTCTGTGCATATAAATTTGTCATTATGTAATGTCAATATAATACAATAGTAAAAATTAGAAAAGTACCAAGTTTATGCAAACTGTTGGCAGCTTTAACAATATCTGGTCCTTGAGTATACTGCTCATTTGAGAATTCAAACGCTTCGATAAATGTTGCATTTTGGCAACTCTTCTCAGAAAATCAGAAGTTTCGTGAAGCCGTGTTAGCACAATTGTTTGCATCTTGATTCTATTAAATGTATCAACAATTTTCCCACATAATCTTTCGACTGCTGACAAAAGATTCTAAAAGAAAAAGAATTTGTGCTTTCTGTGTCACTTTTTTATACATCAATTTTATTTTCTTGCACAATATTCACCTGTATATGAGACTGTATTATAAAAAGCACTCCTTCCAATTTTTCGACCTACGTTGCTTGAGATAAAAAATCCTCATGATTGGCGAATACTTGTCTTTGTAACTCGACATTTAACACCTCAGTAGCTAAAATAAAAAAGAAAAAATATAATTATAATTTACTATTTCAGAATTCTTTTTACAGCGTATAAAACAATTTGAATTTTACCTTGTCTTACCTTGTTTAATTTTTGAGCCACTGATAACAGCTGACCAATGTCAGATTTTTTGGAATCAGCTGTTTAAGAAATTCTGAAAAATTAATATATATTTTGTTAATATTATCACACACAGACATACAAATTTTACTTGAAAAATTCATATTTTTCTACTTGTTATCATTATCTATATTTTCTTCAACTTGACAGATCCCCCAATTTTAGGTTACACAGACATATCGGAAAAACATGACGTATTCTTTAGGGTGCGTTCAAAATTTTACTCAAGAATGCACAAATGAATTAACCAATCAGATCACTTTGTCAGGGAGCGTACTAGTACACGCAGCCGCTCTCTTGTTTCTCTCTGGTGAAATGTTTTTGTGTTGTATGTGGATATGTTTGATAAAACGTGCGAGAAGGTTAGAAAATCTATTTCTTTCTATTACGAAGAATTTTGATAAAAAAGGCAGGAAACTTTGATACAATCTTACACGTGTAAATTATAATCTATTATATTTACAGATATTATATAAAATATTATAGAATAAAATTTGTGTTCTAGATTAGTTATAACATCTTGTGTACCTCCTATAAATTAGCAGCTTTATGATTATGTGTGATTGAAATATTAATTTAAATTATGCATACATATATAAATATATAAATTGTTCATATAAAAAAAAATATGTAGTTTTTTAAAAGATAAAAAATCAAACTTAAGAGTATATTGCGTATACATATATGTATATGCGATAGAATAATTATACTGGAATTAATTGCAAATATGTTTTTTGACATTATTTAGTACTAAATAATAATTATATTGTTAAAACAAATTAGAATTGTATGCATTTACTTGACATCTTATTTAAAAACTTGGAATTTTATTAATAGAATATATACTTTTGAAGTTTAAGTAACTTTTTATTTTAAGAACATTATATTTTAATGTTTCATAAAATTATTAATGAAAATAAGGATTAAATTAAATATAATACAGATTTAATTTAAATAATTATTTACTAGTAAATATACATATGTATACATATATATGTATTTTTTTGTTTTAAAAGATATAATTAAAAGAAACATTAGAATCATATATAATTTATAAATAGAATGCATATGTAGAATTTATAAATTAAAATTGAAATGCAAGATATAAGATAAAATATTAATGTAACAGATAAATATTTATATTAGTATTATAAATAATTATATGTGCAAAAATTTGTGATTTATACTTTAAACTTTAAAACAAAGCCTTCAATCTCATTAAATAATGTTTTGCAACTTGCTATATAAATTTTAACAAGATAAATTTTTAAAAATTTTATCTAAATTATAAAATCTGTATAAGAAATATATATGTATATATACATATATGTACAATATATACAATATAAAATATAAATATACATATATAATTATATTACATATAAAATTGTATTTATATGATTGTGAAATAATTTTTTGATAATAGCATTAATTTTTTCAGATACGAAATAAATGTCAGTGTTTCGCAGAATATCGACCACTATGGTCTTGGCACCGTAAGGTTCATAAAAATCCATATTTTGTGCCAGACCAAGTTCCTAATACTAGAAAAGCTGTCCCTTTAAACTATATTATCTCAAAAAATCCGGATATCTGCGACAAGATAAAAGAAGACATTCCAAATATTGAATGGTCAAGCATACGAGAAGGATTTCTTCAAATTCAACAAATTACTTCAACCATCGTAGATACCACAATTATGGACGTGTGTCTCGTAAATCTTCAAGTGGAGAAGGCTATTACATATTTTAAATTTCTGAGAGAAAATAATTATCCTTTGAATGTGGCAGTGATCGGAAAGTTTCTGAGATTATACGTTTTAAAACGCGACTTCTTGACCGATAGAGATAAAATAGAAATTGTAGAAACATATGAGGCTTTAAGAAAGCAGCATCCATATTTGGATTCTGTTACAGCTGAACATTGTATAGCGAGTTTGTGCTTAACAGATCAGTGGGAAAAAGCACAAGAACTAATAGAAATGATAAAAGTTACTACCGATCCAGGTCAAGCTGTGTATTCTGTATTAGCTGGCGCCGCATTTAGAAATAAAAAACCCGATATTGCATGGAAAGCATTATTAGAAATAACATTACGTAGATTAATTCCACAAGATGTAGTATATAAGTCGCATCTGCAACATTGCAAATCAGAAGGAACAGAGATTTTTAACGAGAGAATGGAGGAGATGTTTAAATTTTGGGCTGAACACAGCATGCTGCCATATAATAGAATTATGAATGAATATATTAATGCAGCTACCGAATGTGGCTGGTCTGTAGAACCCACAAATATTTCCGCTACGTAAGCATTATTTTATATTATTCCATATGTTAATTTCAATTTCTTCCTTAATAATTTAAAAATAATAGGATTTTAAAGTTAAAGTCACAATCTTAACACCAATAATTTTTGTAATAAAAATTACAATTTTAAATCAATAGAGAAGTTTAGAAAATCTATGAACTTTTATAACTAACTGCATATTTTTTTTTGTTTAGAGGGAAATGTAGTCATTGTGGTCATTCCTTGTTGAAGATAACATTCAGCGATAAGAATTTTCAGGATTTAGTTGAGTCTGTGATGAACAGGGTGATTATAGGATCGGATATTTTCCACAAAACTAATCCATATGAATTAGAAAGATTTAAAAAATTTATTCATACTACTAAACCTTATGACATAGTAATTGATGGACTAAATGTGACTTATATTCAAAAGAACAGTCCTGCCCCGCCTGGGTTAAAAGGGGTAACATTTTTGTTGAAATAATAAATATTAAAATATATTATAATTGTTTATAGATATATAAGTATATTAGTATATTATACAAATAAGTATATTACATGGGAATATACACTTTCGTCAATCGAGAGAAGAGACTATTATTCTATTATATTTTACTATTTAATTTTTTATTAATAAATGTTTACAATAACATATGATTTATATTACAGTTGATTAAAGTGGTTGAATACTTTAGCAAACGTGGAAAAAAGATACTTGTGTTAACACGTAAACATCAGAGAAAGCAGCCTACTTTTAAGTATATAGAACAGCATGCACGTGTTTTTTGACAGACAATTTGTAAGTATTGAATTTGATAAGAGATTCCTGAAATCCATGTTAAAAATATATATATAATTATAATAATTATTATAATATATAAAATATAGTAAAATATAAAAAAATAAAAACAAATTTCTTACGCATAATAAATATAGAATATGTAATATGTAATATAGATGTATATTATATATAATATAATATATAATTTTTTAATATGTATATATAATATATAAAATAATTAAAATTTTAGGTCTGCTGATGATCCTTATTTAATTTACGCAACCATGGCAAGTGGCAAAATGCAATGTTTGTGTCTGTGGATTTAATGCGGCAACATAAGCACTCCTTGAAAGATCTGAACTTGCAAAAAGAATTCAAGAAATGGCAATGCTCACATCAGTATTTTATTAGGAAGGAAAATGGGAATTTACACATCCAGGAACCTTCTGTTTATGTACCAACTGCCCAGAAAAATGGCGACTGCTGGCACGTGCCTTATGTCAGCGATAATTCTACTAACGCAGATTCGTTTGAATTCCCAGACAAATGGTACTGCTTCAAGTACGACAAAAATAAATAAATGAACGTGATATTAGATATATTATCGATGCTTATATAAAGGTAAATCTTTTCTTTGCTGGATTATCATCCTCGAATATGTATACACAGTACCATGTTAATTTTCACTATAGTGAGAATATTCTTGTTTTATTACAAAGGCATATTAGTAATCCTATTTAAATTTATCCAAATCCTCGAGATCTACAGCAACTGATTTACTGAATATTTCTTTTATCAACGTCCATCAGATATCTTTAGAACAATATCAATAATACATTTATGTACAGGATGTTTCTAAATAAAAAGCGAAAAATTTCATGAGATGATCTTTGTCGAAAATTAGGAGGGATTTTTCATATATATTCCTATAGGTATCTCTCCTTGAGAGAAGAGTCAACTTTTCAAAGGGAGATGAAAATTAGGGTTTTATTTTTTTCTTAAAAATTATTGATTTTATGAAAAAATAAAAGAAATAAAAAAATTTTTCTAAAAGAATCAACTTTTCTAACACTTAGATGATCGGTTAAAAAGTTCTAATAAAAATTGATATGGGAAGATTAAAAAAATATTAATGAATATCTTTTTATTAGTGGAAAATATTCACTAAATTTTATTCTTTTTTAATTGTCCAAATTAAAAATCTAATTTTTACCTCTCCCTTTGAAGGAGTGTAACTCTTCAGGAAGGGATATAGGAGTGTTTTAATTCCCTTTAATTTTTGACAAAGAATTATTTCTAAAGTTTTTCGCATTTATTTAGAACATTCTATATATATTTATCTTTTTTAACAACAATTATAATTATAATTATAAATATATTATATATGCATATGCATAATATATTATATATTATATGTGTATTTATATATAGGTGTATATATATATAGATATTTTATATTATATTTTTATATATTTATATCTATATATATATATATAATATTTATATTTATCAATTTATTTATCATTATTTAAATCTCTTTTTTATAATTATCCTTAAATACATCTATTGTATATATAATCTGTATCTATCTCTATATATATATATATATATATATATATATCTATATATATACCATTAATAATTATTTAATAATAATTAAATACATTTATAACTATCATATAATGATATTGATATACCATAGCACAGATTAATAGACAGATCGCCAAAGGTCTGGATGAAGGAGAGACCAGCATTTCTCACTGATTTCAGCGCCATATCGTAGTAGTGGTCAATGCAGTAACTATTAATACGTTCCCAAGATAAGAGCGTCTCATGCTCATGAACTCGTCCGGCGGCATGTACGAGATTTATCTTTTCGTAGCGTTCGCGTATTTCGGAAAGGACAGAATTTTATGATGTTATAAATAAATAAATAAATAAATAAAATATTAACCTGATCTATTATAATTATTTTTTAATAAATGTTTCATTATTATTATCATCTAAGTCTAAGTCGTTTAATTAATTTTTAGTTTTTTAATAATTAATTTAATTTATTCTAATCATTTTAATATGTGAAAAATACTAATACGTATACGTTTTATAATGAATTAATATATTTCGAGAGTCGAATTATATATTTTTAATAATATAAAAGTGTTCAAAAATTATATTTGACTTTTAATTTTAATTATTTTAGCAAAGAGTTCCGAAATCTCTTACACACATAATAGGGATTTTGTTCATCCATATAATTCGCAATTAAGTATATATGTTAATTATTAATTTTAATAAAATACAAAATTAAAATTAAAGGTCAAATATAATTTTTGAACATAAATATATTTAATTCGTTATAAAACGTATACCCGTGATAGTATTTTTCTCGTACAAAAATAACTAGAACAAATTAAATTACTCATAAAAAAATTAAAAAATAATTAAATAATTTATATTATATATGATAATAATAAAACATTTTATAAAAAAAACAGATTCAATAAATATAAGTATATATATAACATGTACTTATATTTATTGAATCTGTTTTTTAATAAAATGTTTTATAAGCTTAGAAAACTTGACTTTGACGTAACTTTACTAAGCAAATTTTATTTAATTATTTCACGACGGTTTGACGTAATAAAATGTTTTATTATTATTATATAAAATATAAGTTTAAATTCTTTAATTAATTTTTAATCTTTTATGATTAATTTAATTTACTCTAATTATTTTTGTACGAGAAAAATACTATCATGGGTATACGTTTTATAATTAATTTAATATATTTGTGTTTAAAAATTATATTTGACCTTTAATTTTAATTTTTATTTTATTAAAATTAATAATTAACATATATACTTAATTGCGAATTATATGGATGAAAAAAATCCCCATTATGTGTGTAAGAGATTTCGAAACTCTTTGCTATAAAATAATTAAAATTAAAAGTTAAATATAATTTTTGAACACTTTTATATTATTAAGAATATATAATTCGGTTCCCGAAATATATTAATTCATTATAAAACGTATACGTGATATTATTTTTCTCATATAAAAATGACTAGAATAAATTAAATTAATTATTAAAAAACTAAAAAGTAATTAAACGACTTAGACTTAGATGATAATAATAATGAAACATTTTATTAAAAAAAGATTCAATAACTAGTAGGTCAGGTTATAATTTTTTATTTATTTATTTATAACATTATGAGCTATTAAGCTCATCATCTCGTTCGCTCTCTGTCTTGCTTTCATTCGGCAAGTCACAAACGATATATGATACTCGTATGTTCCTACTTCAACTCTCGAGAATCTGAAACAAACGAAACTCGTGTCCAATATACAGGGTGTCCGGTAACTAACAGACCAATGATTACAAATGGATTCTTTGGTCAATTTGGGAACGATTTTTCCTCAGCAAAATGTCGAAAAAGGTCATCATTTTTTACAACTTTCCAATCTTTGTCATTATGTATCTTTATAACTAAGCCTTAAATTAAAATTTTATTATAGTAAACTCTACCTGAAATTAACTGAAGAATGTAATTATGTTAGACTTTTAACTCCAAAACGTTTAGTTTTCAAAAAACCTATTTTTTTCAATCGCTTATAACTCGAAAATTATTGACTTCTCAACATTTTTGCTAAGGAAAAATCGTCTCCAAATTAGCCAGAGAATCCGCCCTTAATCATTGGTCCGTTAGTTACCGGACACCTTGTATATATTATATAAAAGTGTATAGCACGTCAGAAGCTTGTGAGCTTACAGCGATAAGTAAAAACAATTGCGTATTTATTTCATTGCGTTTATCTGTTTAAACGCGCGCTTTAATTTTTCCAACGTTTTTGCCTGTTTATATTTTAAAGGTCCTCTCTTCTAAAAATCTTGTTTTAAAGATCCTCTCCGCGAGCAAAATTCGAAAACATAAATTATTTAAATTTAATAAGGAAAACAATTAGATATTTAAAGACAAGGCTCGTGTGATATTATAAAATTAAGATTTAGAAAGACAGGGCCAACTATAACGAGCATATTAAATTAGTGAGAGATGTAATGTCAACACATAATTGATTTATTTCTTAGTAGATACAATGATAATAAAAATAATAAAACGTTTCGGCTGTTACCTCAGCCTTCAGTAAATATAAAAACAATAAAAATTCTCTTAAGAAAAATTATGACATATTACGCATTAGAGTCTATTTTTTAATGAACATTTTGGTTTAATAAGTCGATGAATTTAAATTGGGTTACGCTTATAACATTTATTAAATTAGATATTTTTTCTAATCGGCTAACCATTTTTTAGTTAAGATGGTAAACTTTTTGATTATGTCAAAAAACATGTAAACGAGTTCCCTGTTGTTAGTAGAACAGGTTGACGGCCCATTCCACGTCATCAATTCTTTTGAACATTATTAGTTAAAATTATCGTCAGAACCGCTTGATATGAGAATTGAAAACAATTAGATGTTATCCAGCATCAAAAAGTTAGTCCCCATCATCAAGGATATTTCCGAGTAAGTTCGTCATTGCAGTATATTTCACCGTGATTGTCTAAGTATATTTTTATTTTTTTGGTATATTAATTTATATTAATAAGTTATTTTTTTTTATGTGAAAGATCTTAATTGTGTTTAGAATTGCTTACTTAAATTGATGAGTAGTCAAGATTCCGCCAAGTTGATGTGTTCACTATACAAAGTCACATAAATTATTTAATATTTTTACTTTATTATTTGTAAATCCTCGGTAATTTCAAAATTTTTCTATTTGAAAATTATTAATTTTCTATTGCCAATTAATTTTATCACAGACTTTACTCTTACTCCCATTGCACTTTCGTTTGCGGTTTTCAGTATACGATTTTTTATCGTAGTTACTGAAAATTATTATTGTGAATTATACTTGTGCAGTGATTTGAAGAATTTACAATTTCGTTGAAATTGTTGATTTTTCAAAAAATTACGAGATTCGCGGAAATTGCGTGCTTTCTTGGCATTTTCCGTTCGCGGCAGGCGGTTTATTTTTGATTGTTGCAAGTGTTTTTGTTTTCTTTTTTATTAAAATAGATAATAATAATGTGAAATAAATCACGATATTTGACAGATGTGCATATATATAGAAATTGTAATAATAATAATATTATATCATAAAATTGTAAATTGTTTCAATTTTTTATAGACTGCGATAAAAGATTTTACATTTGGATAAGAAACTGCGGTAAGTAAAAATATAAAATTCTTGAAAACGTAAAAATATTTGATAACGTAAAAAGGTGAACTTTGAAAAATAAGGAACTTAAAAATTGCACTAATAAATGGGCTATATATATGTGAGCCGTGCGCGGATGTAAGGTGTGTTATATCGAAATTTAATTAATAGAATTGAGAATTAATCCCAATTTTAAGTCTTACAAATGTCCAAGCTAATTTTTTGTACCTCGTGTACATTTTTGAAAGTTATATCGAAAAATTAAATTTCAATATGCGTCTTACATCTCACATTTCGCATACGGCTCACATATAGCCTATTTATCTCTTATACTTTATTTCAACCCTTATAGAAATTTATTACTAGTAACGCCAATTTATCACTTATTTCGAGTAATTAATCACTTTTATTTCGAATACTTAAATTACTGTATATTATAGTATTTTAAATACTCAAAATAAGTGATTAATTGGCGTAGTGATAAATTTCTACAAGAGAATAAGGAGCCTTTAAATTCTTAATGTAAAAAATTTCAAGTAATTTTCTTTAATAAAATTTAATTAAAAAATTTTTGAACACTGTGTTATATCACATTTAAAATCGTGATTATTTCAATAAAAAAACATTTTATGTGTAAAAAATATATTTTTTATATTTAATAAATTTTATATATATATATGCATATATGTAAAATATTCTCTCTCTCTCTCTCTCTCTCTCTCTCTCTCTCTCACACACACACACACACACACACACAACGGGGGCCAAATCTCTCAAATTGGTCTCATGATCAATTAGCCTGGATTCGCACCAGGGGCAAAGTCTGTTGGTAATGTCAAACGAATTTAGCCTGGACTTGCACCAGGGGCAAAGTCTTTTGGTCGAGTCTACGAAATTTAGCACGGACTCGAACCAGGGGCAAAGTCTTTTGGTTCAAGTCTACGAAATTTAGCACGGACTCGAACCAGGGGCAAAGTGTGTCGGTAAGGGGCAAAGTCTATCGCACGAAGATGGCGGTCTCTTCTTTAGGCAGGCCTTTGGCGATCTGTCTATTAATCTGTGCCAATAGATTGATTTTCCATGTGGATATAGAATTGTTCAGAATCCCCGTTAAGGTTCGTCGCCTCTTGCAAATCAGCCCAGCTGATCGCGAGCGCCGCATGCGAGGGGGTCGCTGCAGTCGCGATTTTACGATCGGCTGAGAGGCCTATCCGCGCAATAATATTCCATATCGCGATTCTCTCTCCTCCGTGCGTTCCGCCGCGTTTCCTCTCTCGGTGTGACATTCCGTCCGACATTTCAACGCGAGTTCGTCGCGATGTTCTCGCTCTGAATTATTTTTTTTTTTTCGCCACCCTCCCGAAACGCGCAAAGCGACATATCGTACATGACATCGCTGATCGCGGTCTGGCACTAGGTGTCTCGCCATTTTGTCTCGTTGTCCCGAGAACAACGCGGTTTCGGGAAAAACGGGACCCCGATGCTCCTCGAGCGTCGTCGTACTGTTTTCGTCGCGAGTGGATCCGGCTTTGAAATCGCCTGACGAGAATTAAATACGCCCGTGAAAATTCGATCCCGCGCGCGACGATTTTTTTCCACACACACACACATATATATATATAAACATTTTTGGAAGAGAGAGACCGGTCTCCTTCGAGGCGAGGATCTCCGCAGGACCATCCGGAACGACATCCCCAGGATATACAGTTCCTATATAAGGACTTCTGCAGCCATCTCCCCGATCCACGTGTCGGTGGGATGCTACATTGAAGTGAGACGGTGGCGTCTTGCATGGATTATTCGCAAGAGTGAGTAGATTGTTGTTATTGAGTCAGACAATTTTTGACATTTCGCAGAAGTATGTAATTACCTGATACAGAGTGGATATTCATTGTTTTGTATTGAAACTATGATTAATTTCACATGATTATTTACATACTGTGTTAGAAACCATCAATATGTAAATAAATGATGTAACAAGAGCTACTAACGAGCTTATTTTTTTACATATTGACAGAAAAAAATGAATTTTACATTGATTGTCACATAAGAATTTTTACATATCTATGATAAAAAAATTTTATATATATATATATATATATATATATATATATATATGCTTCTTGACTAATACTTAAGTTTTTTTTGTTCTTATATATTTTTGTAATTAGGAAATTTTGTTATTATTTTATTGTGTAATTTTATTATCTCACAGAGATGTGTAATTACTTGGTATAAAATAGTTGATGTGATATACTATGGGATTGTGCTAAATTATATTTTATATTGAAACAATGATTAAAATCCACATTATGTGTACACACAAATTCAGAAGAATTTCTTTCAATATGTAAATAAATAAATAAGCAAATGATATTATTATGCTCCATTTTTTACATATTTTCAGAAAAATGAGCATTACATTGATTGTCGAATAAGAATTTGTATATATGTCTATAATTTATGACATGATATTGCAAGATAAATCTTGTGCTTATTGATTGATCATTTTATTTTTATATTTCTGCTTATAAAACAAAAAATTTTTAAAAATTAGAAATGGAAAAGACTTAATTTTTACTGTTAAACATATTTTGGTATTTTGTGTGGGAGAAAAAAGAAAAAACTTTTTGTTAAAAAACTGCTACATATGCGACAAACTGTTTTAAATAGTTTAGCTAATTATTTTTATTTATTGTGTAGTAAATAGTTTCTTTGTGTTAACCATCATAATTAATACAGACCATTTCGATTAGGAATAACATTATGTAATAAATAGGCTTTTAATTTTTTAATTTGTTGAGAATTTTCTTTCTATATTTATCCCTTTTTGTGTTAATTAGTATAATACTATTAATAAGTCAGTATTGTCATGTTTTTTCTTCCCTTCTGCATAAAATACAAAAATTATGTTTAGTATAAATTAAGACAAATTTAATTTTTTCCATTTTTTTTAAATTTTGTCTTGTCAGCTTAATATGAAATTAGTGTCACGATTTTTTTCTCGAAAAATGGTACAGAATATAAAATTATCTTAACTAGTGCAGACTAGTACAAAATGAGTATTAAATATTTCAATGGATCCGATATGATTCTGCTAATTTGGTCCTGCTTCCTAAAAGGTGGCTATCTTTCAATAAATCTATAAGTTTCAGTAATCTGGGGCAAAATTCAATAAATTAAGAAAGATCAATTAATACATTTAAAAATGTTTGAAGATTTTTTTTGAAAGATTAGTAAAATAAATATAATTAAAATTTGTAAATACATATGGCGTTTCCAAGTTCTCATTATCATTTTAATTTTTTCAAACTATATTTTTTTTGCGTGAGTTGATTCTTCTTATATATTATTTTATATATAAAAATATCGAAACAGAATTAAAAAGAATTTATGAGATATTTTATAATTTATTCTAACAGGTAATATAAAATATATATAATATTTCATATTAAGATTCACTTTTTAATATTATTCTCCGTCTTTATAAAAAATATGTACCTAATGCAAAATTTTATACACAAATTATGTTATAAAAAATAGTTTAATTATTTAACAAATTGTGCATATTTTTAATATATGTTTTTAATATAAATACATCAATTTAAGATGTCAGACTTGAGCAAATTGTTTAAATTTAAACTTTGGATCTTTATTAAGGAACTTTTACTAACACTTGCAAAATTACTATTTTAATATGTGATAGACTCATAAATTTAAAAAAGGAAAGATTTTAGCATTAAGTTTGGTTTAATTAAATCTTAATATAATTTGCTAATATTTACAAAATTATCATAAACTTATCAATTTTATATTTTATTTATATATATCATAGACTTATAAATTTTATTTTATTTAGGAAAGCAAAAAAGTTAATGTAAAATAAACTTATTTTTGCTTTACACAAAACTATCATTTTATAATAGTATACAATGAATATTTTATCAATAATTTTTTTTTTAATACTTAATATATTTTTTACTTTAACACATTTACAAAGTTAAATTTAATTTTATTTATTTCTGTTTATATGTATATGTAATTATTGCGAAACGTTACACTTTATCGATTATTTTTTCATGTACACATGTATAGATTTTTATGTATACATATATGTATATATACATACATGCATACACACAAGTAAGGTGTTTTGTCACGAACTTTACAAACTTTGCTAATGTGTTCCGGTGATTATTGTAAGGAAAAAATATAATACACTCCATGGGTCGATTCAGTTTCGTTCCCGAGAGTCACATGCTTTTTTTTTTCTTACAATTAGAGTAACTACTCGAAAATGTTGACAAAGTTTGACGAAATATCCTGTATGCATAATAATATATTTATGTAATTAATTACAAATGTAAAATTGATAAGAAAATTAATTAGTATATAGACAGAATTATCAGTTAATTATAAATTATTATGTCATACAATTATTAATTATTTATATTTACATTTGTTAATTTGCAATAAAAATATAATAATAATTTTCATTTGACTATATATGCAGAGAAGTTAGAATGAAAATGACAGAACATTATTAGTAAAGCAATAATTATTTTTATTTTCCTGGCAAAATAAGGTTAATAACAGTTTGCTCATGTCAGATGCGATCTATCTTTCTCGATTTATGATAGCGCATAACACAATTATCAGTGAACTTTCTGAGGATATTTTAGTATCATTATTTTATATAGAACTATCTGTCAACAGAGAAAGCTACTTAAAATTTATAACATCGATCGATCAGTTAGTGAAATAATTTATGTATCTATATAATTTTCAAAATTAAAGCCTTTTCAAGAAATATAAAAAATCAGAATATTATTTTTGTACATACAACATTATTATTTTTTTTTATATCCAGAGAGAGAATTTCACACTGTACATAGGAATTTAATCCATAGGAATAAAAGTAGCACATCTGTATAGCTCTGCACTTTTATGGATAGTACATTTGTCAGTATAATAAGGATAATGTAATACTATGGTTCAGTAGTGTGTCGTCATGTCATGAATCATCGAATTTCAATCTCACAGCTATATTTTACTAGATTCTGATTGCAAACAGATCGTATAGAATTTCCTTGCTATGCAAGAATTCCAATATGCTACAATAAAGCTTATCCGTTTTGCATTTTGAAAAAAAAAATTCAAAAACTCTTTATACTAATATATTAGAAGTATTAGTTAATTTTAAAAATAAAAATTTTTATTTTTATTCTATAAATATAATGCATAATTTTAAACTTTACTATCTCTCATTTTTAATTTTATTTTTTTATTATTAATTAATTATTTATAAATATAAAGCGACGCTAACACACAATATATCTACAATATATTAGTTAATATATTATACAAAAAGTAATACATTGTTATACATTTTTTTCTGATATTAAACATTTTATTATTTTAATAAATAATTATATAATAATAAATACAAATGATATTATTTTAATAAATTTTAATTAATTATTTATATATAGAGTTTATATAAACACACATAAATAGCTTTTATATTTTTATTTTTATTATATTTATAATTTAATTCTAATAATAGTAAATTTATAATTTAATTTTATTGATATTTTACCATATAATATTTATTACATGAATTTATATATATTTTCTCGAAAATATATATAATTTATTATAATTTAAAAGTTGTAAATGCATAAAGTACTTCACTAATTGATCAATCGATATATACATTATTAACAATGCTTTATGAACTTCCACGAATTAATCATATTTAATTCTTAATTGTCTTAAAACAACAACTATTTACTATTTTTTTAACTGTCAAATCAAACTGTCAAAATTTGCCACTTATTAAAATATTTTTACAATATGGAATTTATTATTTGACTATTTCATTCTCTTTTTATTTTTCTTGTAATTTAAAATAATATTTTATTTGAATGAAAATGAATAATGTCTGGCAGATTATATAATATTCTAAGATAATCTTTTATTTCCTATATCCGCATATTTCGGTCACTAAATAAAAATAAAATTACATCTGAATTCGTATAAAGAATGTCTCATATAGAATTATGTAATTCTTGTGTTGTGAATTAAAAAATCTTTACTAAATATATTCAAACTGAAATATTTAGATAAATTTCTAACATATTAGTAAACTAAGAAAATTATAAGAAGAATATTCGCGTATTCATCATTCTTGCATGTTACATAAACATTAAACTTGCAAGTATTATATAAAATTGAATAACCGCTGGCTTCTAAAATAAGTACAAAGAAATATGATTCTTTTTCGGAGATAATGTCAGAATCAATTTCATCATTAAGCTTAGTCATGTCACTCGAATAAATCATTGTTTAAATTTTATTTTTAAATATCTTTTTACATATCTAGTTTAAAATTTTTAAATAATTTATTTTAAAAATTTATTAATTTTTTTAATACAATCTTTCAATATTAAATTTGTTATATATATTTATATATATATATATATATATATTATGTATATAATTTGTTTTCTTTAAATTAAATACATGTATTTAATTATAAAACATATTTCAGATTCTATAGATCCTTGGAAAACATAATTAAATATATATTTAACAAAAATTAAATTTAACGTATAAGACGGGCAACAAGAGCCAAATCGCGGATGACAATGCGTTATCCTAACGAAACTAAATAATTTTTCGTTAGAAATAAATACCGGTGCACAAGGCACCAAATTTTTACTTGGACACGGCCAAGCGAAAGGTCTCGGTTCGATTCCCGATTCAGCGATTTTCGGATCTATATTTTTCTCTTGCATTCATTTAT